TTGTGCTCTCCGCAAAAGGACCTTTTCTCCCAGATAAGCATTACAATGTCGTTAATTCGTTTTCCTTTATGCCGCGGCTCGGAATTCCTTGCCCTAAAGTACCGAAAGGCAGCGATAAGGAGCGAAAATGTTGCGACATTTTCCGCCTGGTAATTGTCCTCGGCAGGATGCGCGGTGTCCAAGTTTATTGCCTAACGACCGCGGCACGTTCCCTTCGTTTTTATATTTTAATTAAAAACCAGCATCCAACTGGCAGGAGAAATTGAAAGAATAAGGAAGAGCTCTAAGCGGAAGGTAACTTTCGAAAGTAGTTCACAGATTAGGCATTGACATATTTTTTAAAAGCGCTGAAATAATTTAACGTTTATATTCAGGATGCTTTTTATATTAAAACATTTTTTAAATATTAAACAACAGTTATATTCCAAGCTGACACAATTTAATTGTAAAATAAAAAATCTATATATATATATAGAAAGAAAATAATATTTAATAAAAGCGTTAAAATGCATTATTTAATTCAAAAATATTTTGATCAAGGTTGAAAATATTAGATAGGATGCTACTCATATTCACTTTCAAAGCTAAACGTATGGAAATCCAGAGTTTAAAGCCTACTTTAAATTTAACATTAAATTTAACAAATTGACAAAAATCGGACGACTATATTATATTTTAATCGGTTTTCGATTCTGCAGTCGATTTACCAATTGCAGAACTTAATCTCCCTCGCTTTCCATTTAGTACCAATACATACTGGAAAAAATCAGCATTTTAATAGAAAATTCGTGCGAAGTTTCGATCGTAAATTTATTAGTCCTTAGGTTGCAGTGGAGCAAGCCTCTACTCACATGTGTCAACAGACAATTTTCGTTTATTAAGGGGATTTGGCGAACCAAAAATAGCTATAATAAAATGTTTAAGGGAGAAAACAACAAGCTCCGCAAATGATAAAATAAAGAGCAATAGGCAAGATGCAAAAGTAGCTTATTACAAGGAGGGTGCAAAAAAGCAGCAAGGAATTTTTTTTGGTTCTCCCTTTTTTATGGTAAAAAACAGGGTGACGAAGTCTGGCATGGGGAGGGCAATATTTTTATGCCTATGACGACCATTGCGGCCCTCTTTTGTGTTAATAATCTTGAGGCGTCTACCGTTATAAACGGTTTTTTTTCTGCCCTGATAATTACATTAAGATTTGAGGTCTTCTTTGCTTTTATTTCCGTTGGTTACTTTTTATGGGTTTCGTTTTGTGGCCACAGGGTCATGAAACAATGAAGGGGCAATCATAATTTAAACTTCTTCTGTTTCTTGATCGTTTGCTGGCAAATGAAAATTCAATTGTACACGACATAGAACAATTATAAACAAAAAACCAAGTGCAGAATCGACCACTCAGGATAAGGGGTTGAGTGTAGAGAGTTGAAGGACTCGCCGTGCATACTAAGTAGTCGGTTTGTGCGTTTTGCATTCCTTGTTATAATACGGTTTAAGGGTATACTGGATTTGAGTTTATCTCCAGGAATTAAATATAATAATAACTTTTTGAACTTTCTATATTTTTTATATTTTAACTAAATTGCTGGAAATTAAATAGTAAAAATTGAATTAAATTTATTAAATAAATATATTTAACAAGTATAAATTTTAAACAAAAATATAAATCTGATAAGATATACGCGTTTTAATAAAATCCCTAAAAAACTATGGCCTTGAGTTTTGAGAACCAGGTAACTTACGGTCGAAATTCTGGAATCTTACATTTTGCATTGTTTTTTTTTGTCTTTCAAATTGCACATTCCCCAAGGCAAATCACGTCGAAAGAGTGGCTTCCCAGGACAGGCAACACATTTTTAAAACGCCCAAAGGGACACGTGCATTAAACAGCCCGCCAGGACAACATCGCAGTCGCAGCATCCTGGCAGAACGAGAGTAATTTACAAAACTCGTCGGCAGTTGACTTCAACGCGTTTGTCTGTCGCGCAATTAGGCAATTGTATGTACATATATGTGTAATTGACAAAAAATGACATGGTATTGCGAAGAGAGGCGAATGCAAAAATAAACCAAAAATTGATTTTTATGTAATGAGTACGAAGGTCCTGTTCAGGACAACTGCAACTGACTGTTGTTGTGTGTTACTTTTTTGGGGCTGTCGCATGCCGGCTGCATATTAAAAAGTGCGTGATGCCTTCGCTGACCGAAAACGCTGGGCCGTTCTGGCTGTCAATTTTTATGAAGTTAAATTCTCGTTGGAGGCGACATATTTTTATATGTACATAGCTGTGTGGAGTGGTCATTGCAAAAGGTGTTGCATGTAATGAAGCGCATAATTTTAATTGGTTTTTGTTGAATTTAATAAAGCATTATTAATGTGGCCGCAGCAGGTAATGAAAGCTGCAGTAAATATAAAAAAGTAAATAATTAGAATAATTTGTAAATTAAATAAGTTTAATTTTAAAGTTCTGGCAATTTCTTTGGTAGTTACATTATAATGTAATGTTAATAATTATTAACAGTCAAAAATGTGTTCTTCAAATATTTATTTTCTTGTTATACCCTTTAATTTAAAGTAAAAAGCCTAAAATCAAGATTTGTTTTTCTGTGCGCATACAGATTTTACACTCAAAAAATTAGTTTTCTTAAATATAGAAAAAAACATTTTTCTGTGCTTAGGAAAAAATTTCTATTAGAAGAAAAATTTTTAAACTTTTGAAAAATGCTCTTTTAAACAATTTTTTAAAATGTAGAATAAATTTAAAAATATATGGTTTTTTTCTAATCTTAATTTTTTTATTTACGGTTAAAATTTTAAAAGAAATTTAAGACGAAAAATTAATGGTGTATTTTTGTATAGCCTTGCAAAGGGTATTATAATTTCAGTCAAAAGTTTGGAACGCAGTGATGTCCGACCACATAAAGTATATATATTTTTGATCAAGACCAATGTCGGAACGAGCCGAAATGAACCACTATATCTTATCTTATCAACAAAAATAAGAGAAACAAGAGAGAACGCTATAGTCGGGTTGTTGTCCCGACTATCTAATACCCGTCACTCGGCTAAAGGGAGTGCGAACGCTGTGTCGGGTTGGTGTCCCGACTAATAATCGTAACTAAGCTAAAAGGAGTGCGAGGGAGATAGATATATAATTTTTGATTGCGTATAACTTTTTAATGAATGGTCCGATTTGAAAAATGTATTCTACATTTCGATAGGTATAAATATACACAACAAAATTGCATTTATACTTCTCGGAAATCTTTAAAGATGTGGGCGCAGGACCCATTTTAAAATCGTAAGTGGGCGATTGTGGGCGTTAGAGGGGGCGTGGCGCTCGGCTAAAATAAACTTGCGCTGCGTAGGAAGCCAAAGAATATGTGTGGAAAATCTCAACCTTCTAGCTTTTGTAGTTTCTGAGATCTCAGCGTTCATACAGACGGACAGACGGACAGACGGACAGACGGACAGACGGACAGACGGACAGACGGACAGACGGACAGACGGACATGGCTAGATCGACTCGGCTAGTGACCCTGATCAAGAATATATATACTTTATGGGGTCGGAAACGCTTCCTTCTAGCTGTTACATACTTTTGCACGAATCTAGTATACCCTTTTACTCTACGAGTAACGGGTATAAAAACAGTGGGCGTTTTGACTTTTGGCAATTAAAAAAAAACATATTAAATATATCTGGAATCCCTGGTATTTACAAGCTTGGGTATATAAGCTTCAACTGGCCGAAGCTATAGCTTCGTTTCTTGTTTTGTTTTATTCCCTAATATTTCCATATTAATTAAAACAAGAAAGGAAGCTTGCAGATTATTCTTATTAATTTACAAATCGCAAAAATGTTAAATTTCCTATTATTTTATATTAATTTTTCGATCGTTTCTATGGCAGCTATATGATATAGTAGTTCGATCTTTTTAAAATTAAAATCGAAATTCGGAAATATTTAAAAATAGTCATATCCCAGAGTAGAAGAGAATGTAATAAAAATCAACAAACATATAATTTGTTTTCCTATTAATTTAAATTTAATTTTTCGAGCGTTCCTATGGCAGCTATATGATATATAAAAAATAATATTCCCAAGAGTAGAAGGTAATACTTGAAAAAACACCGAAGCTAGAATTTTTTAAAGTTTTTTTTTCCGATCGTTCCTATGGGAGCTATAAGATATAGTTGTCCGATCCGGTCGGTTCCGACATATATACTACCTGCAATAGAAAGAAAACTTTTGGGAAAGTTTCATCCCAATAGCTCAAAAACTGAGAGACTAGTTTGCGTAGAAACAGACAGACGGACAGACGGACAGACGGACATGGCTAGATCGACTCGTCTTGTGATGCTGATCAAGAATATTTATACTTTATGGGGTCGGAAACGTCTCCTTCACTGCGTTGCAAACTTCTGACTGAAATCATAATACCCTCTGCAAGGGTTTAAAAATCAATTCGTTTTTTTAAACTTTTGACCAATAAATAAAAAACTAGAGGGGAATAACTAAAAGACAGCCGAATGACTAAAAATAAGAGAAGAAAATGTGAATAGACTTTGTACAGCGCCACAAGCTAGTAGAGTACTTAACTGTATACAATTAATTACTGTAATTACAAGTCCAACTTGAAACTATAATTGCATGTACATAACACCAGTTTACAAAAAAAAATTGATGAAATACGCACATTTCACGAAACCTGCATTTAGATTTTACATTAACATAATTTTAGTTGTTATTTAAATTCAATGCATTTTTGCGCCAAAAAAAACTCGAACTAAAAAGTCCCAAAGGGTGTGCCATATTTTGTCTTCTTATTCAAATTCAAAAAGTTTTTGCGCCAAAAAGACACACAGGGTGTGCCAAAATTTTGTCTAGAATTAGAGTGACCGGAGTGTAATAAAGAACAAATAGTTAAAATAATTCAATCTGCTTATACTAAACAAAAGCAGTATATTTCGAAAGTGACACTAGTATTTTAAGACCAGTCGAAAGCGGTCACACTCGGGCAGCAACAATTTTTTGTTTCGCATTTTGTTTGTGAAAATTTAAAACACGACTGCATTGGCAACAGCGCAACTTTTCCCGCTGCTGACAAGATCACGCAAGTTCTAACATGTCGCAACAACGCGCCACGGACCAGAATGCAGCCAGCTGCAGCAACAACGGCGAGGTGATTACGCTGGACGACGACGACGAGGATGAGGATGTTCAATTTGTGGGATTCGTGCGTCCCACCACCACCGTCATCGATCTCTGCCTGTCGCCCTCGACTTCCGCGGCGGCGGCTGCTGCCCGTTCTGGAAGCGGAGCTGGAGATGGGCCTGCAACAGGATCCGGATCAGGAGCTACTGCAACGGCTTCCGATCCCAATTCCCCTTCCTCATCGCCCGGAGATGCTGCAAAAGCCACCAGCGTAGATGCGGGTGAGAAAAAAGCTTGGCGGGATTTGAACAGTATTCGGTCAGGCCATAGAAATCTCTGCCAATGATACTTAAAAAAACATATTTTTTCCTGAGCTTTAATCAGATTTTAGAAAGATATTCCAAATACTTGCAAAGGCGTTTGTTTGAGTACTCTTAACAATTAGTATTTCCATAATAATAATCCTACTAAAATACTGTCCTCTTGATTTTTTTCCAGCCAATACTGGTGCGGATTCCCCTTCCGCAGCGGCTGCTGCCTTGGAGTGTCCCATCTGCTTACAAACCTGCATCCATCCAGCTCGTCTCCCCTGTGGCCACATCTTTTGCTTCTTGTGCGTTAAGGTGCGTAGTTTAAACCCAAAAGCGGAAGCTTATCGCAGTCACTTAGCTATGCAATTCACACACCAAATTCTGGTTTTTGAATATCATTTTCGACCGGCGCCAAATCCTCCAAGCACGTAGTGAAGTTCAAGGCTGTTTTTAACCCTTTGGCGCTGGAGCGGGTCTGCCTAACTGTTTAGCATGCCGGCTGAATCCGGGATACTTGCAATTATGGCTTTAGGTTGGCTTCCGGCTGGCGACTTGTCAATTGGTTTCCGTCAACTGCCAACTTTAACCAGTTTGAGCCTAAGACACGTATTCATTTAGCACTTGGACGCATTTTCCAGTTCTAGAACTTGTTTGGGCGTGAAATAGTGTCAAATTGTTGCAGACAACATTTACAGCTTAATTTCTTAAATTGAACTTCCCTAAGTTATCTATTAACAATCTAGTTTTTTCGCAATATGAAATTTTTAACAAACATTTTAATATTTTGTTCAAGAAAAAGGAAACTCCACTCCTAAGTTAATTGAAATTTAAAGTTTTTTTATAATAAGCAAATAGGGGTGAAGTTTGATAAATAATATTACCTAAATCACATTTTATTAATATTATATTTTATTTAAATAATAAATTGGAAATTTCTTTTAATGATTTTAGGCTTTGACACGCGGAATCTTGAGTTCTTTTCGTCCCTATTATATGATTTATTAAATAATTTTCTTATCGGCAGGGCGTTGCCTACAAAAACCGGAGGTGTGCTATGTGCCGCCGCGAGATTCCCGCCGAGTTTCTGGACCATCCGCAGCTGGTGAATGGCATTGAAGACATTTGCACAACTCGCGCAACTGAAGATGGCTACCAGTGGTACTACGAGGGCAGAAATGGTGAGTACGAGTTTATACGCTTTTGGTGTCGGCCGCCCCTCATTTCCCAAAAACCCCACCGAAAACATTACGCACCACGCACATCTAGGTGGCTGGTGGGCGTACGATTCTCGGACCAATGAAGAAATTGAGATCGCCTATGCGGGATATGAAGCACACAAGACGGGGAAGCCCATCGCTTCAGGAACTGAAGCGTTACAGGCTGCCATTAATCCACCAGTAAATCCAGAGTCCTTTACTTTATCGGCTGACAATACTATTGGTGAAGGAGGTGATAAGTTGGGGCCACCATTTGTTGAACAATTAAATCGGGACCCACCAGTACCTCAAACTCTCCCACCCCCCGAACCTGCCGTTAATCCACTAGATAACCCGAACTTATCCGAAAATGAAACTACTGATGAAGATGATGATATGTTAGAATCTAATTCTGATGCAATATTCGATATTACTGATGAAGATGATGATATGTTGGATCCACACTCTCCAACGTCAATCGAAAGCTTGACTTCTGATGAAGATGATGGTGTTTTGGATCCATTCGTTAATCCACTATTCAATCGGAACTCTGCAAGCCCAATCGATTACGATAGTGACGATTCTGTAGTATCCGCTGGAGAAACTTTTAGGTCATCGGACTACGAAGATGATGATGACATGAATTCACAGGGTTGGCCAAGCTCAGATTCTGAGGATCTGGACGAAATTGAACCGCATCCAGGCAGGCTGTTAGTACAGATCTGCGGGGTTATGTATGCCATCGACTTTATGCGAATGAAGCAGTATCCCCGCTCGAGCCCCGAAAAGCGTCGAACTATCGTGCGATGCAAGACAACCGATGCCGTTCCTATTGGAGTAAAAGGCGTCGCCGGGCTTAGCAAGTACCAAAAATACAACTAAACTTCGATAATATCACCCACCCCAATCATAGTCCAAAAACATTTGCACTTCCACTTCCATGACTTAATTACATTAAAAAACAAACTGTGATTTAAAGGCCAAACTAGCAAAACAGATAAGATCCCATCTCATTCCAAGTATTTTTGTTGTAAAAACGTGTAACTTCAGGTTGGTGGCAATATGATGACCGCACAAGTCAGGATATCGAAGATGCCTTCAAGAAAGGCGACAAATCCTGCACAATTCTGGTGGCAGGCTACGTCTACATTGTGGACTTGGAGCAACTGGTCCAACAGCGCCAAAACGAACCCACTCGCTGCCGGCGAGTTAAACGAGATCTGGCCACCATACCAAAAAAAGGAGTGGCCGGTCTCCGGATCGAAGGCAACCAGGTGACCAGCGACACCATCTTCAGCAGACCAACCACCACAGCCAATCCAACCACAGTGGCGGCAGCTGCTTCCAGTTTTATATCCACCATTGCAGCGACGGATGCTGCAATCAGGATTGCAAGCGACATAATTGGATCTACTCTGGCCCATGCCGACGAGCTCACCCGGGGATTAGCAGCCAGCAACATCAGTGACGATCCAAGCAGCAGCAGCAGCAGCGGTGAGCAAACCAACTCTACAAACCCACAGGATGAAGGACGCTCGCCTGCCTCCCCGCCTGCCTCGAGTTCCATGCAAGACCTGATAACCCGGGACCTGAGGAACACCCAACAGGTTATTGCCCACAATCAGCACACCATCGATCTCTTTGAGCAGGCCTTGAATGACTTCCAGGCGCTAACCATGCGCAACTATGTGGACTCCAGCGATGAGGAGGACAACGACCAGGAGCAGGAGCTGCGGGAACTGGAGCAGCTGGAGGCGGGCGAGCAGCCACAGTCCGGCGATAATCACCAGGGATTTTAAAAGTAACCCAATTAGAGAATGCTTACTCTATTGCTAGCCTAGCCTATACACTTAAAAAATAATCAATGTTCCTTCTAGCAGATTTCACTAAACGGAAAGGGGAATGTAAACTAGAGAAATGCAGCGCGTACCTGAGAATATATCAACTAATATATATGTATATCGATAGGCTCCAAGCGTTGAGCGTTGAACAGAAATAGAAAAAGAACCGAATGTCTACAGGGTAAACAAACACATATTCCTTAAATTAAAATCAGATATTGAATCACAAAGGTTACGTCAGTAAAAGAAAGTTCTAATCTGTATAATATGATATTCAACTTTTCTCAAGAAACTTAACCTAATTAAAGTAAAGGAAATGTGTTCTTTGTCTGAGGTGGAACGGACCGTTGTAGATTTGGAAATGCAATACTAAGAAATATATTGTTGCAAGGATATTTATAGATGGTCTGCAAAACTCTACAGATCGTAGCACCTCCGAATATAACTTTGCAGTTTTCCGCTGTATATTCAATAACTCATAAAAAAAATGTAAGATCCTTTCGAAGCTGCAAAAGTAAATTTAATCACAAAGAACGAGTAGTGTGAAAACGACAATATTTGTGAATTGGGAATTAGTGCGGTTCATGGGAGGGCAATTAGGAGGAATTCATTTACAAAATGTATATTCAGTGCGTTTCTTAAATCAATATCCTTAAATCGTACAACCCGAAAATTGCATTGATAAAGGATATAATGTAATTATAAATATTTTTGAAACGCACTGTGTTCAAAGGAATCAGATCCAGTATTAATTTTTAAGTCGCCCCCAAGTGCGTTAAACATAAACAGTTCTGTGAGAGTTGAATATATTGATATTTGTATTCTTAAGTTACTATGATAAATGTATTTAGAAGAAAGTTGTTAGTCAGATTACAAATGACTACTTAAAGACCTTATGTGTATTATGTGCTACAAAGGATACACGCCTGATTTAATAATCTCAATTTTGTGACTACTATTTATAGATTCGTTTTCGATATGTACTCCACCATTACTTCTAACAGCGAAATGCGTATTCGTTGCTTCCTTAATATCTACGATATACCTAAAGCTCTACTGAACCCGACTCCTGACCTCGAAAAACCCCTCCCGGTAATATCAACAATAATATTTAAATTATTCCTAAAGATCCAGACATCCGTTACACTCATTTCGAAAATCATTCTTTCTTGCATTTCATATTTTTTCGATTTAGCACTTATCTTATTGATATCATTTCTTTATTTTATGGTGGCAGCTCCAAACAACCAATTCGTACTTATTAATCATTTAGCTTTTCAACAACTAAATCAAAACCAAATGTGCCAAGCTACATTTTTTGAACAGCACTCGCTCCGGTATTTTTGACAGCACTGATAAGGGCAAATCTAATTAACAGCACGTAGCATTGTCTGTCATTTAGTATACTTACATTTAATTATTGAATTAAGCATTTACAACTTAGTTGATACAAGATGTTAAGAAATAGATTTTTGCTGAATCTGATGTATGTCCTGTGCAAAATCACATTTGTCATAGAATAGATCCAAAAATATTTATTTAAGTTTGGCAATAAAAAGAACAAAAATAAGAAAAGCGGTTTATTATTTACCTTTGTACATACATTAATAAACTATGTGTTATATGGTCTGTGTGTGCGCAGGGACACTAGTATAAATATTGCCGCAAATTACAAAAATAAAGCCTTTAAAATTTACCTCAATGGATGCAACAAATTGCCAATTTGAAGCACATTCTCCAAAAAAATTTCACGGCGCAAGTATTCTGAAAAAAAATACCAAAAATAAAAAATAACCAACTTTCCGGGGGTATTACAGGAAAACTATACTTAACAAATTTTTCAGACCTTTTTAGGAAGAAAAAAATAAAAGAAAATATAGCAATAAAAAAACCAGGGACCGTAAATAACACTGGTCGACAAAAAAAAGCCCAAGAATAAAGGCTACCAAACCTGAAAGGATTTTAGCTGTATATTACTACCTCATACTTGGAAACTTTCCATCACGTCGAAGTTTTGAGAAATCCGTGGTCAAAGTTCCAAATTTTCGATTTTTAGGCACTTTTTGCGACTTAATACCAAGAAAATCACAGAAATTATTTCCAACCGAAATCCGTTAAAGTTCTTACGTGCATCAATGCAAAATCCAACCGTCTTCGTTTGGAAGAGATTTCTGTGACACCCCTGATAGCAAACCAGACCCCACAACCGTGAATTAAATATCCTCGATGGACCGTGATTCTTAAGAGCTGGAGCGACCATGGATGACCAACATATACAATTTTAAAATGAATCTTAAGAATTACCTATCCTCGGTGGACAGTGATTCCTTAAGAACTCGAATGACTATGGATGACCAACATATGCGTATCTTATAAAATTATAATGAAAGTAAAGTTCAAGAAGTCGCGGATCAAGAAATGCAATAATGCGCAGCAGCCAAAAAATATTTTTAAAAAATCGCGCGATTTTTTTAAAAATAAATTAATTAATTAAATTAAATTAAATAAAAACAACAACAACAAAATACACACAATTAGCAAAGACACAAACCCAAACCAAAAACAAAGTACACCCAACTATTTTAATAGTTACGTAACTATCTTTGTTGGTCAATTTTACCAAGCAAATTTTTTTGTGTGTATCTCCCCTCTTCAAATGTGTCTGTGTGTAAATGAAGAAAACACCTTGCAGGAAAAATGCGAACTAGTCTGAAAAACAACTAGTTAAATAACTAATATAAAGCAACCGGAATTTGTCTGAATGCATTTGGACTACACAGGGTCTAGAAAATTTGTGCTAGTCGAAAAAATGATTAATACAAAACTAGTAAAAAATAAACTTTTCTCGGACTAGTACCTTTCTGACAAAAAAAACCTTAAAAATATTTAACTGGTAGAACAAATACATGTTAAGGTCTAGTTAAAAGGCAACTGGAATTTAACTAGTTGCAAATGAAACACATATGATCCAAAAATATAGCCTAGGGTGTAAATGTCTTGGGAAATTTAACACTAAACAAATCAAACACTTGAGGTCCTCGGTTCAATCCCCGGTCTCTGTACATTTTTTTTTGTTTTTTGTTTGCTAGGTGATGCTTTAGTTTTATTTTCAACTTTGTTTAATCTGTCCGAGGCAATATATATGTGAAAAATCACTGTTTATGAATTATGTCACACTAAAATTCATAAACCTTGTTAGGGCATTACAAAATGTGATGCGTGTATGGTTCAATCAGTTAGTGTGCCTACAAATCCAAAGGTCCCGGGTTCAAGTCCTAGAGAGGGCGACTTGCCTCAAAAAAAGTAAGTTTGTTTTAATTCCATTTAATTATCATTTACTGTATTTGATTACATAATAATTTTCAGAAATTCTCTAAGGACCGCGCCTATTGATTGGATACTAAATTAGGAGAGCGTCAAGTTAGGCACCGTCAAGTACTAGTGAAATTCAATCACTTGATGGTTTAGAGATTATTTTTAATTTTTTCGTGAAAATATTTTTTTGAGTGTAGTTTAACAGCTGTAACTATAAATTGGTTAACAGTCACTAGTGCAAAACTAGTAGCAAATGGACTAGTTGTTTCCGACGACAAGCATATGAAAAATGGACCACTTCGTTACAAGGAAATGGACATAACTTGAACTAGTTAACCTTCTTGACCCAACTAGTATTTTAATATTCCAAAACTGATTCCGTTTCCTGCAGGGCATTTTTAAATCGGACCACTCATTAAATAGTTATGAGCAAACAATGCATTTTTCGGTTGATGCCGCCACTTCAAGCGATTGCCTGTTTGATCTCACACTTCTTTTTCTGGGTATTCGATAGTCGATGCAATTGACTTCAGCATGTTTTCTTTTTCTTGATTCAAAAATCTGAAATCCAAAAAAAATAAAATATTTTCGATTATTCGATAATAGGCTTCAGTTGTCGGGTCGTTCCTACTTTTATACGGAATCAGAATCCTTGCGTGGGGGATTCTTTTCGTGAACGCACTTTAAAAATGTGATTTAAAGCAAAAACGTTGAGTTATCCTGAAGATCTGATGATCCCCTTAGCACACATTCTTCGTACAAAACAAATCAATATCATCCCTAACTTCAATTGCTAAGGTGAGAAAAACCATTCCCAAATGATATTTATCTCGACGATCCTCGTCACCCTTAACTTGGACTTGTTAAGGCAATTCGTATGCTGAGATTATGCATCTCCTTTGTGTAGCACTGATTGACTGGAATGGAACCTGCAACCTGGACTTCGGGACACTGCCCGTCTACAAATTACAGAAACCCTATGACTCAT